TCATCGTCTTCTTCACCAGATTTTTTTTTTCTTCAGAACTTCAGAAGGCTATTTCTCTCAGCTCTGGTGTCCGTTTTTCGCCCGTAAGATACCGCCATGACCGTCTCGACGAGACGAATCTAACGGTGTCCTCGGAATTGAATTTCAAGCACAACTCACAAACTTGAAATTTCTACATAAGCTCGAAAATTTTAAAAATGAATCTCGAAAGCTTCAAACCAAGTTCTGATACCACTTATTGTGGTATCATCCCAAGATCATAAACATAATTGAGTTTTCATAATTCTTCTATTGTACGTCGACAGTTGAAACCATATTCATATTATAAACGACTCCAATAGAAGAACTATGAAAACTCCAATTTGAAGAGATACAAAATACACCTTTTGCGTTCAACAATACCCAAGAGATTAAATTGGAGTCGTTTATTGTATATATCTGGTTTCAATTGCAACCACGTGCATTAATAATTAAACGCGTTTTTTAAAAAATTGGACCGATAAAGCAAAAGATTAAATTGGATTCGCTCTACATATTAAATTGGATAAAGCAAATATCGCACAAATGTTTTTTTTTTTTTAAAAAAAAAATAGTAGCCCAAAATCTTTTGCAAATCCATAATCACGTGACAGCAATATTTCGAGTTTATAAACATAAATTAAAATATTGTTTTACCAAATGGTACTATAGACTATAGAGTGAGCATTTTCACAGGAGACAAAATGAATATAATAAGGGCGAATTTAAGATCTAAAGAAACAAGCAATTAGTTGGAACTTTGACTAAGCAATTCTTTTTTAAACGTAAATTGTGAATAATGCATCAAATCCACAAGTTAGGTACCTGGTGACCCAAATAAAATATTAAAATTCAAATTCACCAGTTCTACCTAAAGTTGACCGAATGATCAAACATACAGATTCACAATTTTATGTTAGCTAACATTCATTTTCTACTTAGAAAAAAAAAATACAGCCCTCCCTTCAAAAATATTAATGAATAATCCTGACAATTGTTTTTCCTTCTGTACATGTTTCAAATGGGGACTTACAAATTGCATTTTTTTTTTCGCGGGGCTTCAAAGGTGACCATGTAGTGTAAATCTCACCTGAGTGATAAAATTCTAGCCCCTATTTCTAATCATGTAAGTAATCTGAAAAAAAAGGGCTAAAAATTAAAAAGAAGAAATCTTAATAGAAGTTCATGAAGATGAATTATTCAAGACTGCTTGGACGATTTGTTCTTCAAAGCGGCTATTTCCTTATCTTGCTGTTTCTTTAGGTACCGTTGTGCAGTTGCATTCACAATCTTCACGAAGAAGTTCAGCAGCATTATCCAAACGACAGTGTTCCAAACAAAAGCGAGCGAGAAATCCCATTTTTTTACCTGATAATTAAAAGTAACAATAAATAAATGAAAGTAATAAAAAATGGATAATATGACAAACAGATGTGAAAATACCTCAACATCCGAAGGAACATGAGGTTTGGTGGCCAAATACTTCTCCTTCATCAAGTGAAGCTTGGAAATAAGGTCTGGCAAGATTGAACTAAAACCCGGCAAAAAGCTAAGCACCCAAAGGAATTCGTTTTCCAGCCAGTGAAGAAGTTGGTTGTTGCATACGGAGATTATAAACAGCGTCTGCACATAATGAACAGTTCATGAAATTAGATTCAGCATAAGTTAATGGGTTTTTTTAAAAAAAAGAAAAAAGAAAGTGACGATTGATACTCCATCCGTCCAAAATGAAATGTATTTGTTGGTTTTGATGAAAGAATTAAATGATCATACCCAAGTTTGATGTGTGTGTAGGTTTAGACACAACAATAAACGTAAACTATCATATTTATCAAAAACATGAAAACTGAAGGATTGCATAGACAATAGTGCCTTCATTTAAATTTCAAGGCAAATCAAGTAATGTAGCTGTATTGCGAATCAAGGAACAAATAATTTGGGACAACGCAATGAGCCTAAGAATATATTTAATTTGGGAAAAGAGTGGGTATCTGTTGAGAAAACCTGTATGTGAGTCTTGACAATTGCTTTGCCGATCATGGTAGCAAGGAAAAACTCCCAGAAAGGAATTCCAAATTGCCCGCACATTATTCCTGCTAGGTCGAATAAAGGATTTGGTACCTGCAAAAATAGTTCCATTGGCGATAATCAAGAAGTGTAGCCACTAAAAGGCAGAATAAGCTCCCACAAAATACATCGTAAAAGAGGAGAAGAAAATTAAAACACAGGCAGCATAATAAATACTTAGCATTGAATTTTGCTTAATCTCCAAATATTCTACTTAAGAATGCTTCTACTTTATAAGTTGCATCATAACAAAAGAAAGAAAGAAAAACAGTACTAAGTAAAAAACGCAAACCTTGGGGGAATTTTTGTAATTAAGGGTAACATTTGCAAGTGTAATTTGTAGGTCGTGAAACGAAGAGTAAATAAACTAACCGAAGCAAGAATTAGAATCGTGAAGAAGTTTAGGTATTGTGCATGGGACAAGAACCAGCGCTTGAATTTAACAAGTTGAGCAGATACAAAACCATCGTCTTCCTTCGATGAGGAACCTAATTCCTCCACAGCATCTACTGTACCACCGGACATGCGAGCTGCAAAATAGCACATGTATTTAAGTTCTTGTTTAAAACCTATAATATCATATTTAATGTTCAGAAGGTTGTTACCTAATAGACTCCACAATCCGAGTAAACAGAAAAGCACACACATTTCACCTTGGGGAAAAAAAAAAATGGGTAGTTCTTGCAAGAAAATATGTACCCCCAAAATTTTTCTAACTCCAAAACTAGTGTATTTTCAGGCTTGACATAATAGCCTATAAATCAAGTCAACCAATACTCAAAGCTCCAAGTTTTTTTTAGTTCTTATATCGAATATGACTTGCTAAGTGTTCTAACAAAGGCAAATGATAAAGCTTGTCAGATGTTACCAGTAAAAGTTCTGAAGGTATTAAAATAGAAAAAATAAAGGGACATAACTAAGATCTCCTTACAT